AGATGGAGCATCACAGCCGTAGGATAGCTGAGTTGGAAGTCAAAAGTCAGCTCCGGGAGAAGGAATAAATGGATGTGGACGCAGATTCATGTAGATGCATGAAGAAGTGGGGAAAAATCTGTGTCCACATCCATTTATGCGTTCTCCCAACATTACCCTTTCCACTGCAGGTTTTTTGTTTTTCCGCACCACAGCTGCATCCAAGATCGGAATTAGTGCTAAGACTCAAAGTCCTCTGTACCTGTGGAGCATATCCCCTCAAAGAACAGCGATCAATGCCAATAATGTCGTGCACTTCACCTCTCTCTCTCTCTCTCTCTCTCTCTCTCTCTCTCTCTCTCTCTCTCTCTCTCTATTTTTTTTTTCTCTTTTTTTCTGGGTTTGTGTCAGTCTATTTTGAGTCTGTCCTTGAGTTCGAGTCGAAACACTTTTCTGAGATTGTTTGAACTCTGTTTTTGTTGCCAGACTGTTTGAGTTACTTTGAGCCTGCTTTCAGTACATGTTGAGTTTGTTGTGCTCTATATGTGCAATTGAGTCTGTGTGAGTACCTTGACTGATCTTTGCCATGTTTTTTTATGCGGGCGTAGCCCGAATCGCCCGCACCGCGGGCGCTAAGCTAGTCTTGCTTTGTCCCTTGTTCAGCTATTCATCACACGGCTAACCACCTCTTCCAGCGCCTCCTCATTTCTGACGACCTGTTGGCAACGTGCGATAATTAACTCTTCTGTGGATAAACGCGGATTCTCATCTAGCCTGTTCCAGGTAGGGACTATAGCCTCCACCGGGAAATCAATCTCCCTCCCATACCAGAGTTCTGCCGGAATGCATCCCGTCGTCCATTTTGGCGTCATGTTCTCAGAGAAGACTGCCTGCTTAAGATATCGAGGCCAATTCCCCAGGTCCTCCGCCGCCAACTTAGCGATTGTGTTTTTCAAGGTCCGGTGCCCCCTTTCTACTGGCGCATTGGCCTCGGGGTGGTATGGTTCGATGATCTTCATAGGTACGCACAGCGTCTTAAGCCTGCTTAGCACTTCGTGATTCACAAATTCCGTCCCATTATCCGCTATGAACTTGCGCACAAAGGGGTGCCTTAGGTAGAAGTCCTCTATCCAATCGGCCACTCCCTTCCCCGTCTTTCTCTTAAGAGCTGCTGCCTCCATGTAACCACTGAGATTGTCCCTTGCATCCAAGGTATACCGGTATCCTTCCCTCGACACAGGCATGACCGCCAGGTCGAGGTGAACCAAGTGCCCCGGCCCCAGCACCCGGGTAGGTCTAAGGGGCTCGAAGACACGTGTGGAACTTCTCTCCTGGCATATCAGACACGTTTGGCAGTACGTCGCCACTATGCCTGCCATACCTTGCCAGAAGTAAGTGGTGCGATTTTTGCTAGAGTCCCTTTTGACGACCGGTGCCCTCCTGCTAGCCCATCATGCATTGCCTGGATTATGTCCAACTGCCTAGACCTTCCGCATACGACACGCCTAGGCATCATTCCTTCTTCTTTCTTGAACAGGTGTCTGTGCCTCAAAACATACTTCTCGGCTTCCTCCCTTGCCTTGGGGTCGACTTCCATAGGCTGCTTATTTCCTATAAGCAGCAGACCGATTTCCCTAAAGATGCCATCATACATCTGGATAAGGAAGAATTATCGTCCCTTCTGGTCGGTGTCTTGCTCCTCATGAGCCTGATTCACTAGGTACTGCCTCTCCCTCTTCGCCCAGGTTTCTGCTAGGGTCATCACGGCGTCTCGTCCCCCTTCAAAGGCCATTGCCATCAGTTCTTGTTCCGGCCCTGTCATTGCTCCCCACGAGTCATTTTCCTCCCTGCGTCTAAACGTGGTGACCGGTCCCTCCCTGAGTTTCACAACTATGGCGGGTTCGCCCTTTTCTAGAGTCCGAATCAGCAGTTGGTCCATTGTAGGGGCGGCGCCTGCCATCTCGTTATCCACGACCAGGGTCCCTCCTTCATATTCTAGGAAGGCGTCGATTGGCTCAGCGTCCTCTATTCCTTCCGGCGTGATACACACCCTACTCAACCCATCCGCCATGTTCCGAAGCCCCGCAATTCGCTCGACCTTGTAGTCGAATTGCCATATGAAGTCTATCCACCTCCCAACGGTCGGGTCTATAGGCTTGTAGTTCCTTAACATCCCGGTGACATTGGTCGGATTGATCCTTAGGATAAACCGTCTTCCGAATAGGTATGCCTGAAAGGTCTTAAGACAATGCAGGATAGCTAGAACCTCTTTCTTGAACTGCGAATACCGTCACTCTGCCGAATTCAGGGTTCTACTTTCAAATTTGATTGGCCTTTCCTTGCCCCCTTCACTTCTTTGTATCAGCACTCCCCCTACCGCCGAGGGTCCTCCGTCAGTTTCCAAATCAAAGGGTCGTCCTACTTCGTCATTGAAGCAAGGTGCTGCCAAGGTGACTTGATCGGACGACATGCTATCTTTGAGAGTCTGGACTACAGCTTCCCTATCCTTGGTCCATTCCATAGTCCCTCCTTCCCTAATCATTGCGCGGATAGGCTCCGCTATCTTTGCGAACCCTTTGATAAAGATCCTCCAAAATTCGACTACCCCTAGGAAGACTCGTACCTCCGTCGTAGTGCGCGGGGGCATCGGCCATTGGGAGATTTTATCCGTCTTTGCCGGGTCCGGTTTCCTTCCATAGGCTCCACTGCGAAACCCCAATATAGTCACTTCTGGGACCGCCAGAATGCTCTTTGGTCCGCTTGCGGTAATGTTGTAAACTAGGAATCGCTGGAGTAGGTCCCTGATGTCCTGGAGGTGGTCCCAGACAAACTTTCGCACGCCCGGCTCGACCTCTATCTCATCCTTGTTTCACGCGCCTTTTATGGGATTATCGTTTATATATGGCTCGCATTTCTCCGGGAACATGTCCCCTGCGACGGCTAGCATCCTCCTTTGCGCCTCTGCCACAGCGTTCGTGAAACCCATAGGGGTCACTTGCATCTGCAACTGCCCTACCGGCGTGTGCATAGCGGTATACGGCCTATCCCTCGCATCGAGCGGCAGCTGGTCATAACCTGAGTACAAATCTACCAAGGAGTAGATGCTTCGCCCAACATGGGATTCTGCCAGTAGATCGGCCTGTGGGAGCGATCCTGCATCCCGGATTGTTACTGCATTCAGCTTCTGCAAGTCCTGAATCCATCTGAGTGTCTTGTTTGGCTTCCGGAAAACGAACCACTTGTTGCATAGGGGGACGCGGTGGGTTCGGCTACGAACGAATCTATCTTAGCCCTAAGCAATTCAGTGACTTCCGCCGCTATTCCAAATTCATAGGCAGACCCTTTGTCGTTCCAGCACTCATGCTTAACCGTATGGATCCTGCCGGGGGAAATTAGCTTCGCATCCAACCGACCCTTCTGGTGGTCATTAAAAGCAAAGGCTAGATGAGACTCCTGGCACGCCCTTATATCAGCTGTGTCTCCTCTGCCGTTAGGAACCCTTCTACCCTTATCTTCATGGTATCCGCTATCTCATCAGGTATCCAGTGCCCTTCCACTGCTCGCCTCTCCCTTATTATCCGCAGGACTTCTTCCTCCTTTTCCATGGCCTCTTCCCTTGATGTTTCAACTAGGATCGAGACCGGCTTGGCCTTCTTGCCTACGGGTTTGTACTTTCGCACACTGCCTTCGGGGATCGTTCTCCTAAAAAATGAACGGTTGGAATCGGCCTTGCTACCTCCAGGACGCGGGGCTGGATGTTGACTAGCTTCCCGTTCAGACAGTAGCCCTTTCAGACCCCGTCTTCGAATTTGGCAAGCGCTGCGGGGTCCACCCCCACCTTGTGGTACTTGATGACCTTAACGAGTTGTAACAAGTACGGGATTTCGAGCATCACTTCCGGCGTTTCCTTCCGGCCTTCCTTTGGTTTGGGCAGGCTGGCCCCAAGTTCGACTTCCGACTCTTTTTTTGCCACCATAACTTTCAGGGTCTCGTCCTCCTGCCTCCTCTTCTTCATAGGTAGACCCATTTTGATCCACTCCTTCTTGCTAAAGGCTTCCTCAATCATGATTTCTACCCTTTCCCTCATGCCTTCCATTCGTGCGAATGCCCCCTTTCGCGCACTCTCCTCGAACGTCGGGGACCAAGTTGCCGATTTGCCCTTCGGCGGATCCCCTCTGGTCCCAAGTAGTCGGAGGAGTTCTCCGCGGCCAGTGACTGGGTCCTCTATGTCTACCATGTATGTGCCATCGTGCAGATGCTGAGATGCATACCTATCATCTCTTCATTGGCGCACCACGGTCTTCCGAGAATTATGTCATGGTCCATTTCGTCCATCACGGTCATCCGCTGGAAGGACCAGATTGATTCCCTGATCCCCGCCCTGACTCCGCATTTCGTAACGTACCCTGCAAAGGGAATCTCCCCGCCAACGCCCCGGATACTCCCCATCACTTCTTTGTTTACGGTGCAGCCAGTAATCGTTGCGAAATCCCGTCGTATGAGGGTAATTTTCGCACCGCCGTCCACTAATGCATCTGTGTGGTGGGTTCCGATTAGGACCTTCAGCTTTCCTACGGGCAAGGCATGGAAGCTAAGCTTCGTCCCGGGTGGCGCCCTCATGACTTCACCCCCTTCTCGGTCCGGTAGGCTTAGGCGGATGTCTGCAAAGGCCTTTTCCAGGTCCCCCAGATCCCCTAGAATCCTTTGGAGGTTGGAGACGCCTTGGGTTGCCTCTGCCTCTTCCGTCTCCTGCTCCGGTGGCTTTGGGGCCTCCTCTACCTCTACGCGCTTGCGCGTTAGCAACTGCCTGAGTCCTTTAAGCAGCCTTGGACTGGCTTGCAACATGGTTTGGAAGGATACCGATACCATGGTACCCAGCAGCTTGCTCAAGGTGTCGTCAATCTCTGGCGAGTCAGGATCGAAATTTGATACCTGAACTTTTTCTTTGCCGCCGCAACTTTGTCTATCGGCTCCTCTTCCCTTACCTTCCCGTAGACCTTCTCCTGTTCCCCGGTCTCAGTTTCTTCCTGATCTGCGCCAATCCCAGCAACCTCTTCCATTACCGTATCTCGAATAAGCGTCTTTTCCGCACCGGCCCGTCGGGTGGTGATGTTTACCCTATCCTGCCCATTGCCCTCTAGGATGAAATTGGTCTGTGGTCCGCGTCCCCTCGGTTGGTCCCAGACAATATCGACTACCGGCTCTGCTTCTACGGCAGCTATATCCAAGTTATTCAAGACGATGACGGCACGCCCCATTCCTCCTGGCGAGTTTCAATTTACGCGTTCTCCCTGGGGTTCGAGAATCTCACCCTTAAGGGACCTGCTGCATCTCTGTCTCATGATATCATGGTTGAGTCTTGGGAAAGTCCGCACGAAATGTCCGACCATTGTGCAATACCTGCATTGCTCATTGGACGGATCCCTTCTGCCATACCCCCGATTCGCCACCGCTGCTGGAACTACGGCCTTTTGGGGCGGGAGGGCGGGCCGGGACACCTGCGCCTGCATTACTAATAGCACATTTTTCATTCTTTCCATCTTGCTGTCAACCCCGTGCACTCATTCGTGCAGGCTCTCTATCCCCTTCTTGACCTTATCCCCTGTCTTCCCAGTCAAGTCTATAACCTCCCCTTCCTTAAGCAGGGCTAGCGTATCGGTCACCATTGTCTTTTCTGCGAGGTCTGTTACCGTGCTGAAGTCCACATCCCTAGTGTACTCGAACTTGCAAGTCTGTTGGTAAGCTGACAGAATCTTATCTTTGTCGAATTCGGAGAACTGCCTGAGAAAATACTTATTCATTATCCGGTCTGTTACCCCGGGAATTCGTAACGCGACTAAAGTAAAAGCCCTTAGGAAGTCGTTGTAAGTCGCATAGTTCTTCCTTTGGACTGCCGCCAACTCGGCTTCTGTTGCCATCTTCTCCGCCTTTAGGTACTTCCTCATCATCTCGTTCCTGGTTTCCTTCCAAGATCCACTAGTGGCGACAATGGCTATAATGTCTCTACCCAGACTCAGTGACACATGCTGCCCCAAATGGTCCATCTTCTCTTCCTCACTCCATTTCAACAAGGCTGCCAGGTTCTCATAGTCTATCAGGAACTCCGTAATGCTCGCCCCATCAAAAGTGAGTTTCTTCTTGGCATCGGCCAAATACCCCTGATTCTTATTCAGAGCCCGGGTGAGGGTACTATTTTCTTAAGACCTCCCTCAGAGCTACCTGCTTCACCGGTCGGGCTGGTCCCTTCTCCTTCCTTGCTATCCCCCTGCTTTTCCCCGGCCTTTGGCGTACCCTCAGGGTCGAACCATCCTAGCACCCTTTCTCTAAGACTCCAAAATCCGTCACGACCCTTTACTACTTTTGGTGTGGCGGACAGGCGACTAGCCCCGTTGTCCATAGCAGGTGGGGTTGTAGCCTTTTCTGCCTCCACGGCCGGAGCGTCCCCCTTTTCCTTCCCTTTCTTGCTGGGCATTCCCTTATGGTTGTTATCCTTCCCTCCGTGCCTGATTTTGCCCTGGCTGACCCTACGTTCCTCTCGCGACCCTTCTCCTAGGGAGTCCCTTTCATTCCCAGCCATCATTTCCTCCAGAAGCCTCACTTTATATTCTGCGGTCCGTTTTTCTATCTCTGCCAGCTTACGGTGAGCGTCCAAGACCTTCGTTTTCTTGGGCGTAGTCCCTTCTGAGTTTCGAGGACTCGATCTTCCATTGTCTCTTCCCCCCTTATTTTCCTGAGGTCCTCTTTTGCTACCCCCGGCTTTCCTCGAACTTTCCTCTGTCGAGAGATCCTTCCCATCTTTCCTGGTTCCCTTAGGTTTCGCTGACTCTCGATCCTTTATTGATGCTTCGTTTCGTTCCGTACCCCTACCCGTGCCCTGACTTCCTTTGCTTCGCAGTTCCTCAGCCTCTTCTTCCGACGCCATTCCTTTACCTACCCTGCACATGGGAAAAAAAAATTGCGAAATGGCCGGTTGTTCATAGCTTTCCTAGTTCCCGGGCCCTAAGGTCCCCTTATTCTTACTTATTTTCATGCTTTCCCGTCTTATTTTGTCGGGACGACTCTCCCCACGTTTTTCTACAGGGCACCGTTCCGTCTGCCTTCTGCCGGAAGGCTTGCTGCCGAGGTTTGGCGTTTTGTTACTGTCGTGTCCCGGTCTCTTAGGGCGGTGTCTGAGGCTAGGGGCTCTCCCCTCGGGGGTAGCCCTTTTGACTCCCTGACACCCGGACGCCCCAGTGCTTTTCAGCGCGGGTGGTTTTTCCAGTTCTCTCCTGCCACAATCTCAGCTGGGACGGAACTCCGACCACTGCTTCCTTGCTGACGGCTAGCTTCTCATTCCGATTTTCCACCTTCTTATTTTTCCCTGGTACTTTCCTTTTTCACGCCGGTCCCTCATGTCTGTCTGACTCATCCGGTTCTTCGAACAGGTCAGCCACCCCGGCAAGGTAGTTCTCTCTCATCTCTATTTCCCTAACGATTATTGGTTCGTATTCCTCAAACGCCATGCGTGGTAATCCGAATATCAGGATTTCGATGAGTTCGAGTAGTTGCAACATGGTTTGGAAGTAGTGGTTCCAGACTAGAGTCGTAGAACATCCCCGTCGTTTGCGGACGAAAGTAGTGGTTTCAGACTAGAGTCGACTCCACCAGGCTTCTTGCCCTCGAGAGACTGCCAAATACCAAGTCCACCATGAAGTGAGGCACTCGGCACCGCAGTCCCGTCATTGGGGCCTTAAACTATCGTCATCCTCCTACCTCCACCCGGGTTCTCAACCCCACGTTCCTTCTTCCTCTCACCTCCTGGCCTATCCGGTCCACTATCCTCATAGCCCTTTGGAAGATTGGTAACAACCCATGCCCTAGTGCCAATTCCGTTCCTAGCATGTGCCATCCAACCTCCGGCAGGTATACGGTTCCCGTTACCCTTAGGTCGATATACAGGTCGTCCCCTGGTCCCCTATCGAACCTCATCCCACTCCACAAGCATTCTACCATCATGAACGCCTGGTCCCTTCCCAAGGTCGCGACTCTCCATTCAGTGTCAATTCCTCGGACCATGTAGCTTGCCGGGAGCGATACCTCCCATCCGCCTCCACTTTCCGTGGGTGGTCGAGGGTGTGTGGGCCGTCGCAACATCCGTGCGCGTCTCATCGCCGTTGTTGATTAGCGGTCCCCTGCACAGTTTTAAACAACAAGCGAATTTTGCTTATTCCATCCATTTTTTGTCCTCACCCGGGCAACTCCCCGGTTCTTAACTTCAATACTTATTTTCCTCTCTACTCCTCCCTCTTTTTCTTGCCTCTCCTACCAGCATGTCTCTACTTCCATTGGCTCATACAGGCGGTACATGTCATCTAAGTAAGTCATTCCCCGGTTTATTTCTCGTCGAACAACGCCCCATAGGACTTCATCGCTAACAACCGGAGCTCTTGGCCTGGTGGTAAACACAACGCGCAAGATCCGCAACACCTCATACCTCTGTTCACCGCTGAATGGCCCCATCTCTAGAAAGGCCCGATAATATTCTTGGTGAACCAACGCGTCGTCAAATGCCAGGTTGGCGAGGTCGGCCACAACCCTCCTGACAAGCTCCACCCCGCCTAGCCTCTCTAGCAAAAATGGCGGCAATCTCATCCGGACGTTTTCACTGGGCAATTCAAAGCTCCCAACCAAAGCTACCCTAAGGTTTGCCATTACGTCATCAGCCTCCGGGTCTGCAAATTCGAACCCTGCCCGCCACACTAACTGCCACGCCCCTTTGAACATACTCAGTGGATCCTCCCCCGATGGCAACCGGATTGCGAACTCTCGCCATCCGCCCTCCGACACATACAATTGCCCTTCCGCACGCACATGCCCTCGCGGGTCCGGGTTCCACTCCCCATTTTCATCCGCTCGCCATTCGACCCTCGTTACCAAGTAAACCATATTTTCCGTAAGTTCAACCCCGACCCAGTCCACCACCGGGTGCCAACCCTCATTTGCGGCCGACAGACTAACTTCTACTCCACCCTCTACTTCCCTAGGTGGCTCAATGCCTAGGGGGCGATCTTCAAGAAACGTCCTTCTTCGTGCCATTGCGCGCTCGCCCTCGGTCTTCTAGCTCACAATCCGCACCGAACCCTACAATGACCAGGCACCCCACTCCCTTATCTTAGTAATTTTTCCATGCTTGCCTGGCCCGCGGTTTTCTCCATTCTCAGTCGAACCACAGTACCTTGAACAACTTAAACACATCATCTACATAGCAGGGTGTGGCGGCTACCTCGCGGTGAATTATAGCCTCTCTGGTTTCCGGGGCCACTTTCCGCCGGTCATTCCTTTCGATGTCCAAAATGATGAGGGCCTCCCAGGCTCTATCGCCATGGAAGGGCCCAAATTTCAGGGACGTTTTATAGAATTCTTCTGTCAGCCAAGCGCAATTCACGTGCACCCGCCCCATAGTGCTGACTACTTCCTCAACATGGCCGAAACCCCCAAACCAATCTGTTACGAACTCGGGTACCCAAGTCTTGACTCGTTGGCAGGGGGACCTAAATTCCTTCCATCCTCCCATCACAATTCTACTACCGACCACATCCCATCCTTTGTTAGCAAATCTCTCGCCCGCCTGTCGAGCCCTCGCCTCAGCACCCTCTAAAAGCCACATCGGGTTCTGCCCTGCTGCAAGCGTTGTGCAAAACAGGTGCCAACCTTGTTCGGACAGAACGACCGTCCCGACCGATTCCACCCTTCCTTCCGCAATCTCTTCCCAGCCTTCCTCTTCCCTTAGCGGGTTCCAAACACGTTCTATCCATAGGTACGATAGGTCGGGCACAATTTCAGATCCTACCCAGTCACACATGGTCCCTCTCCATTCATGATCTGCTGATATAGATATCTCTACTCCCCCTCCGATCCGTCTCGGTTCCCATCCTTTGGGTGTGCAGTCCCATAGCTCACGCTCCTGGGCCATCGTTCCCTACCTGCACATAGTCGACAGCCCATTCCCCGGGTGAGTCCCTCCCCTTCCATTTCTGCCCGCTGACAGGCAGTCCATATCACTTC